TCAAGTAGGCTCCTTCATCACTTCCACATCCACTTTCGCCTCTTGTTCTTCATCTCCTCCCTCTCAAATTGCGCCACTTTTATTTACTCCGTTGCCGAGTTTTATGATATGTTATGGTGAATTTATGATATCGTCAACAATATTGCCGGCAGCAGCAGCAGACACACACATGTAACGGCTAAATCAAACGAGTGTACGCGTGCACTCAGATATCAGGCTTAAATTACAATAAAATGTCTCCAGGCGGTGGTCATGGTAACAGGCGATATTTGTAAATACATACATATAGTACTTGCTGTGAGAGAAATGTACTAAAGACCGAAAACAGAACATTTACAACAAGAGCCCAATTTCGTCAACTTAAGTCTTTAAAACACTTAAAACATATTCACACAAACATAGAATTCAAAAAGCTTTTAAATCCAAGAATTTTCAAACGTAAACATAACGTTATTGCTTATTCGGGTTTTATTCAGTCTATCAGACTTTAGCTTTCTGATAGATTTTATTGTCAGACAACGATTTCTCTTCAAATTATATTAAGCTTACTGGTCTCCCAAAGAAATTCAAACGAATTCCGAGTCGTAACCAAAGAATCAGCATTAACACCAACATCAGCCTGGAAATCCAACGCAGAATAACTCTTGCCAATAGGTGCTACTTCGGACTGAGTAGGTTATTGAGAAGCAAGGTCCTCTCTCGAACAAAGACCACACACTATGAGTAACTCGTTCTCCCCGTCCTGTTATGTGGTACAGAGCCGTGGACGCTGACAACATTTGATGAGTCGATGCTACGAGTTTTCGAGTGAAAGGTTTTGAAAGGTTTATGGTCCTATGCGCATTAACAACGGCGCATATCGTAGTTTATGGAACGATGAGTTATGAGAGATTTACGACGACATTGACATAGTTCGGCATTTTAGGAGAGAGCGGCTAAGCTGATAAGGTCATGTCGTCCGAATAGATGAAAACCATGACCATGTGGAGAAGAGATTGGATACACTTGGAATATCCAATTCAAACAGCGAAAAGGAAGACCGTCTGATGCGCTTTTGTTAACTCGGCTATAACCGCGCAACTGGTTAAGCCAATAAATAAAACACCATAGATCCAAAACTCAACACCAGTACTAATACTTTTGATGACATCCTGGTAGTCGGAAAGCATTGTTTTATAAACGATAACGCAAAGCTGTTTTTCGATAACAATCTAATGATTTGGGAACCAATCGTGCTCTCACTTTTCTTAAGCCCAAATGCTCTTTCAATTTCACTGGTCCTCTTGATTTTCCAAAGAAGCCAGTAAGCTCTCTGACTGCTACTCATCGATTCTCAAGCAACAGTTCCTTTATTTTATTGACGTGTTTATCATCAGTTGATGTTGATGACCACCCAGGAGGTGGTTCGGAATTAACGCGCTCTCGACCCTAAAAAGAACTTTTCCATTATTCTGAACGTTTCGGCACCAGAAATTTGATTTCGCACTCAAAATTTTTAAGGATCTGCTTTGTTGAATAACATCACTCATCGTAAAAATCGCCGAACGCACTTTATGTACATATTTCAGAAAGACAAGCAAATACTAAACAATAATGATTATCAAAATAATTTTGGCGCAGATGTCACTGACAGTCATACCAACCTCGAAAAAAATTTGATGAATGAATTTTCGCGTGAAATTCAAATTGAAAAGTCTTACAATTTTTTGCTCACAGTAGTACATTTTCTTTCTCTGTGTATCGTTACTTCAGGCAATAAAAGGTTTGGAGTAGTCATCCATATTCAAGCTTTGCTATTGGATATCCACAGGCAAACATCTTTAATGTAAACATCTATAATTTGAATATCTAATTGTAATATAATAAGTGATGAAGGTACAGATGTTTGAAAGATTCAATACCATCAACAGCTGTGTTATTGCCCGAACTGTTGACTTAATTGTTTTTACTATCCAAATATAAGGTCGTATTCTTGCTATGAATAGTCTTGTTCATGTTTTTTAATGATTTTCTGTTCAAGGTGTTAAGTCAACAAATTCTCAACTCAATTTCAACTAAAAGAATTTCTTGATTTCCCAAAAGACTTGGTACAAAACACTCGTAATAGCCCATCTATTAACTAATCAAATCATTAGGAGAATCATGCACGATTCTATCGTGTATCGCGAGATAAACATTCTAGTTGTCAAGGAATCTAAAATGGATCACGGAATTACTTAACAAAAATGTACTCTTTCTTTGTGCGTATTTTTCTCTCCAAGAAACTGGTAATTTTTCGCAAACGCGAGTATCGGACAACTTTAGGATATAGACGCCATACAAACTGAACGAACCAAATGAATTCCATGTATGGAAAAAATTTAAAGAATCTTCACAAAATTTGTCATGGCATATTTCCAAAGCTCTGGTGCAACCGATGTTAATGATTTTTTTTGTTTTTCTTGAGGCTGTCGCATTCTTAACCAAACTTTTTTGTTTTTTAATTTGACCTAATTAAGTTTTTCCGTTATTTATGGAAAACAACATTGGTAATATTTTTTATGCTCCAGACCTACTTAAACCGCTTATTGATTCCCGAAATTAAGTTTTATATCTCAACAACAATGCAGCTTGAAGTTCGTAGCTATCTCCCCAACCAGTAATAATTTCGCAGAACTCCATTTGGCCCATACATGCTTTAATTGCCTGCTTAAATAACAAATTAAATGATCGTAAATTAAACATTACAAGATTTTTAATGACTTTTTGCCAAACAATATTTGTTACAATATTTAAAATACAGTTAAATGCTCGAAAAGGCCAAAAGGAAAATCAGCAAAATAAAATTGTACGTGCACGCGACAGACATGGGTGAAGTAGAAGGCTGTGACACTGCGCTTGACATTAACGAAATGGAAAAAGACGCTTACGCTTAAAAAATATTGTGAAAATGAAGCTAATGTTGGACAACGATTAAATTTATTACAATTTTTGCGCGATACGTGTTTTGAATAAGCAACTAATTTTAACGAATTTCGGTGATTTCGCTGCATGGACAGTTGGGAGCGAGCGAAAAACAAAAGCAACAAAACAAAAGTAGCCAACGAAGTATCGAACTTTTGACAAAACCGGCCAATGTTCTCAGCACGTTCATAACAATTTTTGGAGTCGACAGCATTTTCTTGTTATTGCTGTTGTTGTGCGTGTGTCATTTTTGGCTAAGCTGTCAATCAAAAGTTACAACCGCAGCGCTTAGTCCATTTATAATTTTCTACACGGCAGTGTGTTTTCAATTTTATATAAGCATTTCTTTATTTAAGTTTCTTTTTTGCTTTTAATGCTTTTTGATACGCTTTGGTTGTGGTCGGGGTTACCCACCCGCGCAGCCAGCAATTCTATAATTTTGAAGTATTTTACGCCATGTCGCGCTGTCACTCTTTGGCTGTAATGAGATTACTCATTAAGTTTCTACTTTTTTGGTTTTTTGCTTAAACATGGACATGAGTGACGGCTACGTGATTTTGGTGACAACAACAACAGTGTATATATGTATTATTATTATTATTGCATATTCTTTATCGGCTTTGTTCATCGATTGGCTTCAATTTGATTGCCGTTGCGGCGTTTCGGCTTGTTGCATATCCGTGTGGTCACTGTTGTGGTAATTTTTATGTGCAATGCAATTGTAATTAAATTTTGTGGTCCAACTTTTTGTTTGCAAATAACTTTTTATACTCCAAACAAGGTAAATTAAGTTACCCACGAGGTGGAGCGACCTGAGTCGATTTTGCTATCCCCATCTTTCTGTCAGTATATACGCGAACAAGCTGCTCAGTTTTGCAGATATCGATTTTAAATTTTGCACATATCCTTCTATTCTCAGGAACCTGTTCATTTGCCGAAACCGTTGATATCGGGCAAATATAGCATATAGCTGTCGTACAAACTGAGCCATCGAAATATATTTATTGTATGGACAACTTTTATGTCTGACGAGGTATCCTCGGGTTATTTCATTTCTCATCATCATTCTCCAAGGCAACGGCGCAATCTCCGAAGACAGTGTCCAGTGCGAACTAATAACAACCATTTCTTTTAAATAATTTCTTTTTTATGATTTTTTGAACCAAAACGCCAGCTGTCAAATAAACTGGCCAATCAAAATTACGTTGTTTACTGTTTTGTGAAATGTATTATAGCTTCGGTGCAACCGAAGTTAAGGTTGTTTTCTCGTTTACTGTACAAATAATGCTTTATAAAACAAACTTTTTATTTATTTTTTTAATATTTATTTACAAAAAAAAAAATATTTATTTTTTAATCTGAAATATTTAGTTTTGGTTTCTCTTTCAGTTTGTTTCATTTTTTCTTGTCGCTTTTTTAAGTTCTCTTTATTGGCAATATTGCTACAATCGCCTTCAACCGGTTTTTAATCAATTCTTAATCATTGCCATTTGTTACGGTTCATTATGTTGTTGTACCAGTTTAGTTTTTTTGTTGTTTTTTGCGCTCCGCATTATTTATTTTATACTGTTTACTAAAAATCCAACACATTTGTGAGGCGTTTGAAAGTGTCTCAGACATACATTTACATATGCTTTTGTCTTAAATGCGCATAAATCGAAAATTAAAAATTCAACAACTGCACACTAAATTGAGTTTGAGGACATAAAAATTGACACAAATTAAGTTTGTCGCGCAATTAACACGATATTTATGTTAGATTTCTTTGAATTGACTTTCATTACTTTTGCTTGCGGAGAATTCCGATGATAGGCTTTTACGGTAAAACAATTTGCTAGCGTCTTACTTTGCTGCAATAAAATTGTAAATTATTTAATATAACTCATTTGCATACTTAATTGGTATTTAACTATTGGGGCGAAAGATAACTTTATAAAATATACATACATATAAACTCTTTATAAATAAATATTTTTACGTGTAAATTTATATGTACGAACATTTTTCTAAGATGCTGTAAAATATAAAATAAAATAAATGATTTTTTCTTGTTTTAGAAAAATATTGACACTCTCTGCTTTATACTTTTCTCCGGCTAGTAGGGTAAGTACGACTTATTCCTCTAAAGTATATTATACATTATATACATATATTTTAAAACACATCACCTTTAAAAATATAATTTTTTAAACAAATAATGAAACTTTCTTTTTCCGAAACGAAAGAATAATTTTTCTAAATAATCTCAGTATAACAATAATTAAAGTCTCGTAAATGTTTTCATTATTTTTGCATTAACTGAAAGTTTTTCACAAATCAAAGCTTGAATGATCCGAGTTAGAAAAAATATCTTTCTTTCTGTTCGATAAGTTCTTTTTGAAGGTAATTTCATAATGCCACTCTCATAGAAACACTCGTCCTTATTAGCAAAAAAAAAAAAAAAATAATAATAAAAAATTAGGACAGTCAGTTTTTCAAACTTCTCTTGAACCGAGTTTTTCGTCATTATTTTCGCATTAACTGAAAGGTTTACTAAGCACAGTTTGCAGATTCTAAGTTACAAAAATATCTTCGATAAGCTCTTGCCATTTCGAAGGTTATTTTATATAATAATCTCATAGAATCGTTCCTATTGACAAAAAAATTGCGACAGTCGAATTTTACAACCTGCTCTTGAAGTGACTTTTTCACCAGCAAAACTCTTCGCCATTGACAATAACGAATAGTAATCACTTGCTATCAGACCCGGAGTGTAACTTAGATACTTTAGAACGTCCGCAACAAACTAATAGAACTTGCATCTTTCAGATGTTAGTGTAGGTCTGAATCCCTGCCAATCCCACCAGACTTCATAAGGTTGTTTTGTTTTAAACTCCTGTGCTACATCGAGCTTGTTTTTGTATTATTCAGTTTTAGTAAAATAGTTCTAAATGAGTTTTTATGAAATGTTGAACTCCTAAGCAATGGAAAGAGTGATTACATGACGTACGAACTTGTTTATTTCCATTATTGTATAGCTGTTTGGAACGATTGACCGAGCAAACCGTGGTGAAACTTTGACATTACCGAAACTGAGTCGACGAAACTCAGATTGCGAGAGATTGGCTTTTACAGTATCAGGACCGTAAACACTATTTACATTTTAAGCCGCCTGCCTTACGCTTTGTGTGAATTATGTCGTATTTTTCCTTTACTGATGTCCATCTTTGACACCTGCTCAAATAATATCGCGAAGCGATTGCATTTAAAAACGCCTGGGTAATACTGCTGTGGAGGATTAACGTCGTCCTCAAACAACTATATATCAGAAAGAGACGACTTTTGGAAGGCAAATAGACTTTCGATAGAGCTTAAAGTGTGTGTAGTATATCAAACACCTTTGCGAACGCCAGTATTTCAGAGTATAAGATAAGGGCGTCAAGTCAAAAATACGTGTTAGATTATTGTTCTGTGTATTTCTTACCTTCTGGTCTAAGTCCAATTTTCACCAATTCAATTCTTTGATTAGATACTACAAAAACTTTACATATAGTTGCAATTTTTTCTATGAACAAAGTTAACAGATGTCTACTCATTTCTCAGCCTTTCTCTTTTATATTTTGTTTTTTATTGGTTCGTTGTTGTTGTATAGGCTCTTTTTATTACACATTAAGCGACCAATAACAGGTCATCCACTTCAGGTTAATAATGTGTGGCGCTAAAATCTCAAAAACGGAAAAACCAACAACACTACGCTAGGAAATATGCGCTAAAAGTGTTAAAAGAAATTAAGAGACAAAAATCCATATCTAATTATGAATAAAATAACACCATTATCGGCGGAAAGAGGGCGTCAGCGGCTGCTGCTGCGACCACGGCAGAAGTGTTAAAACCGTAAAACGGTGGTGAGGCTCAGCCATTTTTTTCTGGGTTTTAAGTGGTTTGGTGCTCGTTTCAAGAGGGAATGTTGAGCGTGTGTGTCGCTTGTACATGTTATGCCCATTTAATGGCTTTTTAATTTTATGCAAATAGTGTTTTCGAGTATTTATACTCTTTTATTTTCTCGTTAACTGTTGGAATTTTTGGTTACATAAGCACGTACATATTACGGGTTTCACAAACCAGATTTGCATCTGTAATTTTTTAAATACTCTCAACTCATATTTTTTATAAATTACCCGTATTTGCTTATATAATTAACTCATGCATCTCTAAGAGAACATATATCTCAACTCTCTAAAACTTGCGTACGCGGAGAATGTTCGACGGATCATTCTGAACAATTTTGCTTAAGAGACTTTGAGTCTAAATCAGATTCGCGCCAGCGATTTTTAAGACGAAGATGAATAATCGGTTGTATCCGTATGAGAGACATACTTGTATGTGATATCCGGCCTAAACGATTCCGTCAAATGAATCAATACCCTTATCTAAATATTAAATTTCATTCAGATATCTCAAAACGATCGAATTTTCATCACTCTCTAAAAATTTCTTCTTAAAAGCGCTGGCTAGAAACCGGGTTTAGACCTATAATTTCTATGGAAAAAATGTTCAAAATGATCCATAGAATCAGCATACGCGATTCTTCCATCCTTTTAGCTCCCTGAGCACTCAAAGTACGAGTATATAGAAATTTACTTCTTGAAATATTAAAATTCCTCTGCCTCTAATCAGTCATTATCTATGGGTTTCATTGTACAGAGTAAAGCCCTTTTTTTTATCCAATTTCGCTTTGTATTTGTCCGCCTTTTTATGGCTTTCTCTTGACCTCTTAGTTGTGACCTTCTTGTATTGCATCTACAATACTACAATCATATGTATGTATACATATATTGTATAATGTCAAAAACTTATCTTCGGTATATGGCTAAAAATGTTTCAACTCGAAAAGTTAATTAGAAATATTTAATATATTAGCAAAGTGTGCATTACAACATTCGGGACTTCAAATATACATATACAAAGTATATTTGACCCAGTATTACCATTTACTTAGTAATAGACCTAATCATCTGAGGACCTCTATACCTAATACCACTTGCTAGGTACAGAGTAAAAGGCAACCGGTGTAAAGCTGACATAAGAAATCGTTATAAATGACAGAGAAATAGATATACGAATATGCGAAGATTTGGATACCCTATACAGACAAGTGATATCTCTTATTCAATTATACCCTGTACAGGGTATATTACGTTTGTCACGGAATGTGTAACACCCAGAAGGAAGCGTCAAAGGCCCGATAAAGTATATACATATATAAATGATCAGCATGTTGAGCTGAATCAATTTAACCATGTGAGTTTGTCCGTCCGTCTGTCTGTATATATGTCCCTCAGTTTTTAAGATATCATTTTGAAAGTTTGCAAACGTCATTTTCTCTTAAAGAAAGTGCTCGTCTGTCGGAACTGTCGATATCGGACCACTACAACATATAGCTGCCATAGAAACTGAACGATTGGAAAAAAGTTCTTGTATGAAAACTTTTGCATTTGACAAGATATATTCACGAAATTTGGTATAGATAATTTTCTATGATAAAAATATAATCTCCGAAGAAATTGTTAAGATCGGCTTACTATAGCATATATCTGCCATACAAACTAAGCGATCGGAATCAAATGCTTGCATCGGAAACTTCCTCATTTGAGATATATCTCCACGAAATTTAGTATGAGTTATTGTTTAGAGAAATAATGTATTATAAGAAGAAATTGTTCAGATCGGCATACTCTAGCATGTAGCTGCCATACAAACCGAACGATCGGAATCAAGTTTTGCATTTGACGCGGTATCTTCACGAAATTTGACATAGATTACTGCTTAAGGTAATAACATAATCTCCGAAAAAATTGTTCAGATAGGATTACTATAGCATATAGCTTCCATACACACTGAACATAAAGTTACTAAAAGAAATGCACCTGTGAAGGGTATATTAGCCACGGTGCAGCCGAATTTAGCGTTTTTTCTTGTTTTCATATACGTATAATAAGATAGCATTCGTCGAATACAAATTCGAAATAAAAAGAAACCAGCATGTCTTCTGTAGTAATCTCAAAGCTTTAGTGTTGGTTTTCTTATAACCGGTTAGTATTTATTTATCTGTGAACATCCATTTTACTGTATTACAATTTCAATCTTTCGAATTTCGGACTTTTATGTAAGCTTTTTCCTACAGAGTATAAAGTAAGGATGTATTGTTCCATTATTTACATGCTTTTTGAATCATGTCTCGGCTCAAGTGGTAACCTCTTATGCAACTGTGATGTTCTAAGATGCTTTGGAATGACAATAGGACGATAAGTAGTAGTTTGGCTAACAGTTTGATCTCGATACATTTTCTTTGGCTTGGCTTAGTTCGAATAAAATGTTCTCTATGTCATCAATGAAGGACTACCAGCAATGCTTGTCAAGTAAATAATATAACTTTCGACTTAAATTTGTGACTTATTTAATATTGCAGCTATGCAACCCATATCACAAATTTCGTATGTGTAGTCCATGGCTCCTACTGTTTACTTAATTACCGCTTCACTTAAACGTATCCCTTCATTTTAATTCTCAGCTAAATTTTATTGCTCTCTACTAAAATAAAAAAGCGAACTTTTATTGCCATGGAATGTCGGGGAAAACACATTAAAATAGAAGTTGGCTGCTCCCGCTGTCTAGCCATAAATCAACATTGGCGCCTCTGGCAAAGCGCCGGCTGAGCAAAGGCCGATTCAAGTAAACATACTCTTAAACGCCAGCGAGAGGAGGCGAGTGTAATGGAAAGCGCGCAGCTAAAGTAAAAGCAGCGTGGCGCGTGTTGTTGTCATTATGACAGTCATTTGCATAGAAGCGCTTCACCAATGCCATCGTTGAGGAGCGATGGGTAAAAGCAGTGGCACCAGCTGTGGTAGCGACGAACAATAGCCGCCTCATCACGAGCACCGCGCTTGACCCACAAATCAAACGGCATTAAAACGTGCTACACTTTATTGCCTCAAATGGCGTTGTGTGGCAACAAAACGTTAAATGACATTGACATTTTATTTATTTGAATTTTGTTTGGTAATCGTAATAAATAAACCGAATAATCTATGTAAATTGAGAAGGCGGGATGAAAATGTAAGCAA